CTACTACATCTACTACTACATCTGCTGCATCTACTACATCTACTACATCTGCTGAATCTACTACTACATCTACTGCATCTACTACACCTACTACACCTACTACACCTACTACACCTACTACACTACACCTACTACACCTACTACACATACTATACATCTACTACTGCTACTACTACATCTGCTACACCTACTACATCTGCTACATCTACTACATCTGCTACATCGACTACTACTACTACTACTACTGCATCTCCTACATCTACCACACCTACTACATCTACTACTACATCTACTACCACATCTACCACATCTACGACATCTACTTCATCTGCTGCATCTACTACTTCATCGGCTACTTCTACTACTACATCTACTACCACATCTACCACATCTACGACATCTACTTCATCTGCTACTACACCTACTATGTCTGCTACATTCGGTTAAAGTTCCTCTGGTGGGTGTAATGCTATGCTGTGACTCATCCATACTGAGGATACTGCCGACCTGCAGAACCGGTTGTCCAATGAGCAGTGCGATTTCCGGCTTTTATCGACGGTGTCCAGGAAAACTCGACTGGAAAAGTGGGTTGCATGGCGCAAATATCTAAGGTGCTCCTCTGGCACCGACGAAATTAAAACGGCGTGATGATGGTTCTAACCGCGAAAAAAAAAAGAAAAAAAAAAGAAAGAAGCTATAGCAGAGCAACCCCCCCCAAAAAAAAGAAAACTACCGATGATATTTCTTGTGCCTTCTTTCTTGTTATGTTGTACCTGACAGGGTGGTGAGTACAAAAAGAAGAGAACAGGAAAAAAAGAGGGGTGTGAGAAGTACCCCAAGGTAAGAAAACGCTGTTTGTGATGAACGGCCCGCACCTCTTAAACCACCAGATCACGCGAAGCTAAGGTGTGCTCTTACCAGTATACACAGTAATAGCATTTCGATTCGGACGTCGGGGGGTAGCGAAAGCGGCAGGCCACGTTGAGAAGGCACAACTACCAGGCTCACAAGCCTCGGAAGGTAGCCTCTTCAACCTCTTCTTCTGTTTTTTTTTTTTTTTTTTTTTTTTTTTTTTTGGGGAAAGTAGCATCGTCAGCTTGGGCTTGTGTGAACTGGCAGCTTAACCCAAAGAAAACAACAAAAAGAAGAAGGCACGACCCTTCGGCAGGAACAGTGCTCTTTCGTGAGCATCGCTTGGCCGTTGCTTTTTTTCCTTTCTTTCTCGTGTGCTCACATCAGGACCGTTGGAGATGAATCTAGCACCCAATGCGTCTAAATTCAGTCGAGAATGTTGCTGTGCTTAGTGAGAACCCTACAGTCTTCCCCCGAACAAAACGCACGTGTGTTGTATATGAATACAACGCACGAGGTGCCTTGTATTCGTATACAACGCACGTGCGTTGTGCTACGGGTTTTGGGCACCAACTTCAGGCGGGATCTCAGAAAAAATCTGGTATATGCCCTTGCAGCCACGGGCCTGTCCTTGGGGCATCAGTCGCAGTTGGAGCTATACACATTAATTGAGAAATGGTCCTCGTTACAAAAAAAAAAAAAAAAAAAGTCTCCAGAATGAATCTTCCCCTAGAAGACGGAAGTATACATCCTGCATGTGTAGAGGGGTGCAGCGAGGCCCGACTGTACATAGACAAG